ATGTGTTCTTGAAGGCAGAACTGCCCTTCAGAATGGCCGCTTCTTTCATAAATGTTTCAGCCGAATCAATGTGCATCGGCCAGCTCCTCCATCCGATGCTGTGATGGCGAAGAGGAGGAGGCGATGAGGAAGGACCAATTCTCCGCCTCCTACAGCTCATATGATCAGCATAGAATATGCCGTCAGATATAAGAAAAAAGCTAATACCTGGCATACTGTCAGGGGTCTCTAAAAATCACATTGTGAAGCGCAACTGCTTCAGCTTACCACTGTCTATTTCGGTTTGAGTGTCCCTAATCAACCGCTTAGATCAAGATTGTTCCGTTCTTAACAGCACTATTAAAAGCGACTTGCGATGAAAGACACACAATCTTGTTCGCTGCGGAAGCTGGGGCGTGTTAGAGGGCCGGGTGTGACGCAGCGCAAGTCCGTTTGCGGTTTTTCTTCAGTCGGTGGAGAACGGGTTGGCGCCGCGCGAACCCAGCCCTCCTGGCAGCCCCTAGCAGCGAATGAGACTGTAATTTCCACCAATCCACTGAAAAAAGACGTCTACCGGAGGAGTTGAAAAGATGCTGGCAGCGGTTAAAGTTTTTGAGCCGGTTGAGGGTGAAGAATCACTGAGAATGTGCGGTCATAGTCTCAAGTCACTGCCCACCTTCGGTATTGGACACTGTGGCAAAGAGGGGAATCACAGGCCATCGGGCGTTAGTCGGATTGCTTTTTAATCGAACTCAACTCACCTTTGCACTCGTTCTCACTGACAGCTCCTTGACCAGCAGTGATATGATCAGCTGGACATTTGAAGCAATCGGTTCGACCAGCAAGAGGTTGGTATTCTCCTTCGGGACACAACTCGCATTGCGAGGTCAGTATGGAATGGAACGACCCAGGAGCACATGGCACTGAAGCATCGATTAATTCATAGGATTGTTTAGGAATTCAGTGACTTTTCATATCACTGGCGACCCTTTCCTGAATTTTTGCAAATGACTAAAAAAGCTCACCACACACGTCATCGACAGTGACTTGTCCGGACTGGCAATGGAACTCATCTAGAAGCTGGAACGATGTCAAATCGGGACGACCGTTCGGAAGCACCTGAAAAGGCTTTTTTGGATCTCTACAGATTCATGCCTTCTCTTATTTCTGCCGCGATCAGGCTTTTCTACATAAGCTGAAAAGCTACAGAGACCACAGACATGATGTTGTGGGCGAAGATTGACAGACCGAATTCTCCAAGGACTATGCTGAGGAGATGAAAGAGAACAAGCTGTGGAGAGCCACTGTAAACTGTGGAACCGTTGATGGGGAGGGGGGCTTGATTAAGTGTAAAGGCTGGGAAGAACGCAGCGGACCACTACGCCATCTGCCGTCATGTCTGTATGTATGTCTGTGCTGTCGACGGGGGTCGTATTGTGGTCGCCAAAGAAATTTTTCGGGAGAAATTCCAGAAAAGTGATAGGCAGGTAGAAAGGTGGGGAAGTTTAGAATCACAGCAGGTAGACATAGCAGAAGGAAACTCGAAAAGGAAAAAGGAAGGAACAGAAACCAGGAGAAGGGTGGGGGAGGGGCGGTCGTCGTGATTTGTAAAAATTCTCTTCTCCTCAACGGGAGGACGAGCCCTGCCTGTACAGCATAGGAAAGACGTAAGAAACGCGAGAAAGACAGTAGCATGTTACATAGCACAGTCATCCCGCTGGCTGGCACCCCCGAGCTACCTTTGCCACAGTTGGTTAGTTCTGGAGTCTATCCAGATGACATGTTATTCGTGGGAATTCTATCAGAGAGAACAAATGGCTCCAAAAATTGTCATACTCCTCGATATGTTACCTTTTCTAGATTGAATGCGCCTTGGTTGATGATTTCATTTTCGAGCACATCCACCACTTTCGACTTTTGCCCGCTCACTGAATTTTGTATTGGGTCTCTGAAAAAATTTAGAGATCCTTCCTCAACATTCACAATAACTGAAACGATCACACGGTTCGGAAGTACGGAAGGCTCACCTTTTTGCAGGCAATTCAATTCGTACGTTGAATGAGGGTGACTCTCTCTTCGCTCGCACGAAATCTTCTGAACAGCCTACATCCACACGTGCACCGACGCAGCCATTGATATCACTAAACAATGGCAGATTAAATATTCAGCGGTCGCCATATCATAACCTAAAATATTAAGTACAATTCAGCTGGCGCATACTGTCACGCGCGACACGGGGACCACACAGAGTTGCCCTTGATCCACTTTTTTTCCGTTCTCTGGGGTGCTCTGGAGCCGTTTTACGATCTATTGAGTTTGGCCACCACTGCTCACCGCCCACAACGATATGCCTCGCACTTCTCAACCAGTGACCCCTTGTTGACCCTGACCACTCCGTTTTCTGGGGTGCTCTGTAACCGTAATTTCAACCATTTATAAAGATTAGACAACAAAAATGTTTTTTATTTAGGATTTGTAAGAAAAATTCGGTATTACCAAACTATTGAAAGGATAAAGGAAAAAGTTTTCGCAATTGGTCAATCCTGGGATGCGGCGCGCATTCTACTTCCATTAGAGTCGTAGTGGTTTATTGAATTCGACGTGAATGCGACATGGCTTGTACAATGACTTGGGGAGTGGGGAGGTCCAGCAAATGTGCAAGTCAGCGTTTTTATCCTCCCCAACGAATCTTGTACCAGTCTACCGTTTCCGGAGGGTAGAAGGCTTGGTTGGCCTGGGCGGGTGTCGACCTGGGATTCGAACCCAGGAACGCGCTAGTGGTAAGCGCGCCACTTGTACTACACCACCTCCGACTTTTACTACGTCCGCTACTACATACTAATACTACTATCACTACTACTTGCTAGACAGTTACTTCTCGAAACATGCGATTTTCACTGTCGAGTCTTTTTCGAAGAAATTTCGATTGCAGCGGAGCTTAGGTGCCACAAGCTTTTACAGTTGCATTCGCTGCAGATGTGAGGGGGTCAAGCGGGTAAGTGACAAATTGGTGGGAAATGGGCCGGTGCCGCCCCAAACTGCTACCTCTGGCACACCCCGTCTTCTGGAAAAACTACACTACTAACCAGCACACTGCCCTTTTCATCGAAATCGATTAACCAACGTTCTAGGTCAGTTTGGCTCCTTGATATTGAATATGGCACTCATTTTTGGCTAAGAGGCCACTTGACAGCAAAATTACGGCAATGCCAAAATGGCACCACTCTCGAAGAGGAAACTCATAGAGGAGCTCATAGAGGAAACGAATAAGACTGCCATGCGTTGGATGCCCATAGCCAGCTACTATAAAGACCGATAATGGTGGAAAAACCCACGTCAAAGAACAGATTTCCCATTTCTGATTTATCGATTGAATGCTAGCCATCAAGCGCGTTCTCAAGGCATCACGGCTAGCTTCTGAACATGGCGATGATCCTGGATAGGATACACGCAACAGCATTACACGGGTTGCCGGCACTGATCTGAATCAGAGACATATAGTGTTCGACACACCATCAGAAGGCAGATTCTGTGCTAGTCGTGTGGGCGGAGACGGAGAATCACTGTGTCTCCCTTATTGACGGGCACTCTTCCTCCCCGCCTTTGAGGGTGAGTATATCAAGGAGGCAGGCGAGATATCCTTCTCTGTCTCCGCCCACCAGCTTGTCGCAGAACCTGCCCTCGGATCTTGTCCTTTTCATTGTAGGGTACAAATCGTTGAAGGAACTGAGAGTCAACCCACTTTGTGCATTGTGGATAGCGGAATATCAGCTGATTACGAAGACGAGGTCTCCACAGTCCATCTGCAGCACATGTATAGAACACTGCTGGTGGTCGCGAAAACTCATAGCCTTCGCGGCATTCGATTGAACAAGCCTAAAACGCGATTTTTTTCTGAAAAAATTCGAAATTTTTTCCATGTGTAACCCAAGAAGGAAAACCCGAATGTTGAATTCCTAAGGGAGCTTTCTCCAAGAAAATATGGACGAATTAGAGGCTTTCCATCCAGGGTGCAGCACTCGTGATGTGTGGAATGGCGGTGTTAGTACGCCTCCCACTCTCGAATACCCTACTATGGTACGACCTCCCTAACTCATCATACCTACCCTCCACCCAGCTTTTCACTACCTTTTTTCACTTCCCTTTTTCCCAATTTTGCGAAGAATTCAGTTCTTCCTAAAAAATAAAACCGGCATTTAACAGGCCTGCTGGAAGGGGGGGCTGCGTGACCACAAAAATCAACTTCAGCACTGAACCACAGATAAAATCTAGCTACTTCCCTTTTCCATCATTTCACCTTCGACGGGGTACCAAGGACTGTGCGGGGAATCCGCTGTTTCATAGTCACACTACTTTTCTTCGCTGTCCACTTTACATTTTCCAGTTTTGTGAATTTCTCAGCTGTTCTCCATGCAAGTCACAACCACCGAGACTAACAACAAGTATGCGGCACGCTTGCCACTGCCCCTCCGGTTGCGGATAGCCCTAGTTCGCTCAACCATAGTTTTTCTGCATAAAATCCTACACAAAATCAATAATGCGATCGAATTTCATAAAGAATTGATTACCTTATATCGCAACTGTGGTCCCCACGATTCACATGCTTGAACGCCATTCACAGGTTCTTCCAGCTGTGGACACTGTTCCCGTGAGATGTGAATCTTGAAAACAGATAATGCGTTCGAAGTAAGGGAAAAAGTGGTTGACAAGTAGTCAACAAGTGAGAGAGAGAGGCCGTAACAGTAGCCAGGGTAATAGAGATATTACAATCCGGGACCTTATTGAGATGAAGAAATGTAAGTGTAGAACAAACCTGCCCCTCCAAAACAGGGGCAGGTTTGTGCTACAAAATAAACCAAAATAAGATTACCCCCCCCCCGTCCATCACAATACACGAGAATGCGACCCCTATTAGACCCTCCTTATCCCAAACTCTTCCTTCAACTGAGGGAGGACTGACTATACTTTCAAGACCCGAAATCACAGTTCCCTCCAAGAATTTAAAAAATTCTCACACCCACTCTAATTAAAGCGGATCATTCCAGAAACCCTGAATATGACTTCTTTCGCCCAGATGTGGACTCCTCAATGATGAAGAAGATGGATACAATGAATACTAGAGATATGAACTGAAAACGTAAGATGGTGGAAAATACCCCTTACCGTGGGACCAGAGGTTTAGCAAAAAATTGATAAGCTCTCCAAAAAAACTTACTTTGAAGTTACACTCAGCCGTATTGGAAGCGTTGTCCTGAGCAACATAGAGCACGTCATACTCACCCCATGTGAACACCTTGAATAAAAAAATTATTGCGGATATAACGGCTTTATTCGAGGCGGCATTCCAAGTTCACCGAGTAAAAGCGGCATCCACTTTGGGAGATAGTCTCGCAGTGCTGTTACCATGTGAGAGCGCCGTCAGTTATGCGCGGATACTACCGCGATGTCCACCCCCCCCCCACTTGTTTACCCCCCCCCCTGCTCCCTTTGCAACACATGTTCTGCCACATTTGGGAGGTAACGTGCTACAGACCACCGTGGAAGCCGTCTCCTCTCCCAGCTTTTTCGCTTTCATGTCACAGCTTTGCTACGGATAGCGCACTCGCCCGGAGAGTGAGGTGAGAGTGCCAAGTCCAGCCTGGGGGCCAACAATTTTGCCCATATTATTATCTCCTGTGATAACATTCGTAGAGCGCGAGCTGCAGCGTCAATGAGACAGTGCCATATTAAACAAAGTAAGAGAACTTCTGGTTCTGTTCCTAGACAGTTGTGATTCCCACAAATAGCCGATTTTGCCTGTGACCAAACAGCGCCCAAAAGTGCAATGTGAAAGATCTACATTGCGGCGGCGCGGGAATACAAAGTGATGTCACGCGCGCGCCATTCAAACCAGGGCCTTCATTAATTAACGCTGGAATGACTGCATTGTATAATAGTCAATCAGATTAGACACATGTGTCTTCCTACTTTTTGATTGATGAACGTACGATGAATACAATGAAAAATTTACTATTAGGCATTTTATTTTTTATTTTATATTCAGTTTTTAACTACGTCACCATGGACCCCTCGCGTTCCCCTCAGATTAGTTTCAAAAAAATCTATGCAATGTGATGTGGTTCATACCTGTCCTTGTTTGAAATTCATCTGGATTTTCTTCATTTCATTTCCCGTTTGGAACTCGGGCTCAGGCCATGTGACATTTATTTCTCGCTGTGATGACAATACGAACTGATCGGAAGGACATTTCTGAAAAGAAAAAGATTCAGAATGATACACATAGGGGGTGGAGGAACGTTTCTTCAAACTCAAGAAGGTAAGCAGTAGTAGTAAAACAGAGGAACAAAAAGCTCGTGGGAGGAGGATATGTAGCGTAGAGTGTCGCTCACTAGACGGCTTAAATCTCGGAATATTTCCCGGGCGGTGAGTGAACGGCACCTTCCATTTCTTCCCCTTCTTTTTCCTGCTTCCCAGCAGTCAGTTGCATTTGGAACCAACTTTGCCTGATGTGGATGAAAGCCTGATTCGTGCAGAAGAAGGCATCGAAAGCGACAAAATCAGGGAGCAATTCGGCCTGGTGGGGACACCAAATGGTACTCGGCAAAGATTGTACGTGCCACCTTGTAAAAACCTGTAAAACCTGAAGTCGCTTACTTGTGTACCATTTCGCGCCTTCACACGGCTTTACAAGTCTCGCAAAAATTGAGTCTGTTACCTAAAGGGAACTAGCCCCTCCCAAGACGAACAGCGCTAAAATTAGACTGAAAGCCCACGAGCATTTTGAATGGATGGGCCGCGAAAGGAGGATCGAACAACCTCGAAAGACTCATCCTCTGAGCTTGGAAGAACATGTTCTTGAAGGGCAAAGAAGGAAGTATAGCCAGAGGAATTTAGCTTGAAAAACCCGTTCTCTGAGCTTAAAAGAGCGTGTGCTGTAAGGACAAAGAAGGAGGTCTAGCCAGAGGAATTCAGTAAATACAGAGACCACTTGAAGGAGCTTTGCGCCCATGGTCGCACCATTTGTACCCATTCTCCCACCACTTACTTCCTTCTATTCGTAATCATACGCTCACCTCCACTCTAACAGCTGCTTCTTCTCGTTGCTTTCGTTTTTCTCGTCCACAAGGTGCTACGCGGTATCCTCTCCACCTTGCCATTCATTTCTGTGTATCCGCTGAATCGCAGAAGCAGACCATCATAGGCAAGCTGAAAGTCGACAAATAGCCGAAGCAAAGTAAAGACTTGGAAATTCGCCAAAATTGCGAATAAAGAAATCAAAATACTGGCGCTCAACCTAAGAGTAAGCTTCCATATTTAATAAACCCACCTCGCTACCATGACAGCTGACCACCATCATAGGTATTTCGCTATCAAAGTCTAGCACACGACTCCATACATGAACTCGGGTTATTGAACCAGCAAACGACAACTCGTCCAGTTCTGTGCTGCCCAGAGTGATTAATGCACTGAAAAATGACAGCTTATTCAGTAACACGAATTTATGTTGACTACTTCTGGCAAGTATCCAACCCTCGAAAGGAGGAAAACTTCAGTAAAATACTACGGCAGTGTAGCTGATATGGTCGCAGCCAGTCGGAAAAGTAACTAAACTAACAGAAGGGGCAGAAGAAGGCCGCCTTCGCCCAGTCTGCTTTACCAACGGTGACCGGTTAGTGATCGACATAAAAAAAGACCGGTGGTGAAAAAGCGTTGAAGCTTCTTGTCATTCCGTTGCTGACACCGCCGACTGACGCTAACGGACGATTACCAACTTGTAACTGACTTCATTTCCAGCGCTCTTGTCCAGCACCATAATGAGAACCAGCGAATATTCGCACAGAGTTCCATATCAGTGAATAAGCGCCCTGTTCGGACGACCATGTGAACACCTAAAAAGGAAGGTTTTGAATAAAATAGATTACACCTACTCCTAGACAACTCTTGGCTGCAAAGGTCGAGATAGAATTAACAAGCACTTCCAACCAATTTTAACCGTTCTCTTTGGGCCTTGTATCCTTTCCGTAGAGATTTCGAGGCCCTCCGGTTAACACCGCTACCAAAGAAGCTTCTATATTCTTCACCAGAGAGGATGCTCTCCACGACATGTGAAAAATCCCATGGAATTAACTCAAGCCATTCTTGGGCAGGGTTCAGTGGTGGGGGGGAGGGGTAATATTGGGCTCGCCTACCACTTGTCGCCACAAGGAGCAGCAACTGCGAGTCCACATGTTCAGAATGCCCACGAGACACGTCACTCAGTAGCGCCCTCTTGTTTTCAAAATAACGCGAGGAAACCTTGAAGAAGAGAGGCAGGGATGGCCTATCAGCAGATGTAGTTGACAGATATGTGGATGGCGGAGCAGGCCTGACAGACGATTTCTGGACGTGAATGCAGTTCCATGTCGTACTTTTGAAGGTTAACGTACAAACGCTGTGTTCAAGGAAGCTATCGTTTTGCAGACCCTTTATATCTTAAAGGGTAAGGTAATATGAAGCAACATCAAGAATGTGAACATTACCAGATGATTCCACGATCCTCCAGTGCTGATCTGTTTACAGGGAACGTGTAGCTGGCAGAGCCGTCTCATTGGGGAACAATGCAATTTTTATGCCTTCTGAATCCAAATGCAGTACTTCTATCAATTCGGCGCTGTAGTTAGGCTTCTCTGAAGAGATAAAATGAGAAATAATCAACTCCAGAGACATGATAGACTGCAAGTTCCACTACAACGTGGGAGGAGGTAGGGCGCCCTTCTTCCATGTTCCGCACCAGGAACCACTGTTCATGGAATTGCCAGAGAAAACGCCTTGTTCGCCTGCGAATGCCATTTGGCGTGCCAGCAGGGAGCTTGGTTTGGCGCGGGCGCCAGTCCATTTGCCACTATTCGCTTGCCCGCTTCAACAACTGATGTAGAACTGGCTGGCGCTGCGCACAACCCTGCCTCCCTGAACACGCCCAGCATCCGCAGCGAACAAGGATGCATATCGATGAACACTCCTGGACTAGACCGTACCTCCACCCCCTCCCCCACCACCACCTCATGCGCTACTGTTAGGCTTCCCGATTTTATCCATAGTGGTAGGAGGACTTTTCATGACGGTACAGCGGAGTAGAACGGCGCAATACGGCTTGTGGGGGACTTCGCATTAGATCCTTTTAGCTAAGCTTGTACATCATCCCTGGAGATCTAAGCGCCGTGACGAAAGTGGCGCACTGGCACCACTTCGCAGCTTCTCAGAGTTTACAAGTTCCATCAAAGTTATTTAACATCTATTAACCAAAAGCATAGCAGAATTGCCCCCTCTAAGTCGAAAGAGCCCGCAGTACAAGGGCATGCTCCTGAATTGACTTGCAACTTTTTGACACGCAGTACAAGATGAAATTGGCCTCTGCAAGCCATGACATGGACAACTCTTGTTATGTTTGCCTCCCCCCCCTCCCCTTGTATGAAACAGTTGGAGACTTTCCAACACTTGCTGTTATACGATGCGTTAGTACTGTTCCTTTGCTTTGTGGTTTGGTCTGAATTTCGACCCCACAACGACAGCGTTAAAGCTTTCGTTGCGACTGGGAATGGCAATGCCAACGACGCACTTGCAGGACGGAGCGAGTCAAAGAAATGCAGATCGTAGTCTTCGTCAATGATCTAAAATGGCTTGATAACCAGGTAAGTGAAACAGGGAAAAGACCAAAGTAATTACCTTGTCGCAGTTTGTCCCAGTCATGTTGAAGGGACATCTACAGTATGCCGAATTGATCTGGTCGATACATGTAGCACCAAGAGGGCATGGCGAACGAGCACAATCGTCTATATTCGTCTCGCAGTGCACGCCAGTAAAACCTAAAAAAGCATAGTAATGAGACTGCCCCTCCTCTCCCTCCAAGCTCACTAAATGATACATTTCGACTTTTCACAAAATTGAGATTTTATCTTAGTTTTACATGTAAACTGCATGGCACCATATAGCTCCGCCCATCACGCACAAGTTCCGCCCACTTTATGATTGCAGGTTCTTTCTATGAAGGAGCGTGGAAGTCCAATTATTATTAAGCTAAAATAACTTTGTAAAACCTGTAGTGTGAAGGAGCATGCTATTGCACTGGATTACAAGAGTTTACAGGCCGTATGAGTCGTCGGCAATGACCCATAAAAAATGCCAAATACCCCCTCCAAGCCGATCTGAGCCTCAAGATAGTCTTTTAGCAGAATGATAGAGGAGCTAGATTAAAGGGAGCATGCATTCTCATGAAATTCATGCTTTTCCAGGCTCGAAGAGGTTAAGAAAAAGTAACCAGAACCTACCTGGTTGGCAACTGCAGTGGAATCCGCCGTCAATTGTTCGATTGCAGTGACCACCGTTAAGACAAACAGAATCCGTACAGGCATCTTGTAGATATTGACAGCCTAACGATAGATGGTACAGACATCTCAACCCTTCTTGAATACACAAGCAGTGTACAGCATCGTAATGTGTGAAATGGTGGTGTACGTACGACCCCCCCTTCCGAGAGAGGTGTCAGTACGACCCCTCCCTAAATGGGGGTCTCGGTACGCTTCCCTTCTCCAACACCTACCTACCAATTTCTCACATTTTCCAGTTTTCACCCAAGGATTTTCCATCGAGCGGGGGAAGGGGAGGGAAGGGGCTATAGCACCCATGAAATAGGAAAAATCACGCGAAAAAACAACAACCAGGAAACACATTTTCCCACCACAGGAAGTTGCTCTTAAAGGCACATACGACCCCCCCCCTCCCTGTCCAGCAGAAAAATACGACCCTCCTATGTGTTTCACACAACGATGTTGTACCCTGCACAGAACACCCTAATTCTGAAAGAAGATTCCTCTCACCTGCTCCAGTGAACTTCTTAGGACAACTGCATTCTTGACGTGATCCAAAATCGCCACAAACTCCTCCATTAAGGCATGGCTCACCAAGACAGCGATTCGGAGCGATCTCACAGTTTTTGCCACTGACACCTGAGCAAAGAGAACTCACAGAAGTTGTAACTACTTCATATTGGGTTTGTTCATGCTTCCCTTCTGAGCAGACGCTAGTAAACCTGACTAATACCAAGTGACCAACCTTCAGGACATACACAGAAGTAGTCAGCAACCAAATTCACACAACGTCCATCGTTTCGGCAAGGTCGGGCATCACAGCTGCCAGTCTCTTGTTCACAACTGAACAGTGAAAATCAGGGAGAAAATGGCTGAATAGGCTGGAAACAGCTGATCGCCGCGGTCGTGACGCGCCGCAGCCGCGTCTGCGACCCTTTGACCGCCTAATCAACTGCCCGGATGACGACTGTACACGCATAGAATATAATGAGGTGAATAACTAAAAGTGTACCCACAATGCGTGCAGCCGTTAGCCGTGCGAACGAGGTGGCACATGAGGCGGGAGGGGAGGGGGGGGGGGGTGGATCAGAGCGCAGCCAGTACGGCTTTTACCACCCACTAATGCCATTATGAGCGCCCGAAAAACGGTCGGAAAACTGCGCTGACCGTGCTTCATTACACGTCCCTTCACATGCGCTCTCTCACTCGTAGGAATAGCGACCGTATGTCAAACATCTACTTACGAATGGCGCAATTTCAGCAGGAGGGGGCACTTGGAGCTGGGAGGTGTGAAGAAACGATTGTGAGTCAGAATAAAAACTTCTTAACCTTACCAGAAGCTCACTGGGAGAGAGGAGCCTCAAGGGGGGGGGGGGCGGCTCCCGATTCTTTCTTTGAGGAAAGTCGTGGGGATAGCGGTTGCCGAAGCAATAAACTATTCTAGTACGAAAACCTGGAGTATGAAAGTGGGAACGTCGTGCGTTGTGGATGCCCAGCGAGGCAGCCGTATCTGGATCCCCAGAAAGACGGGGGAGGTCATATCCGCGCTTTTCTAAAAATTGTTTTTGGTCGTTCAGTTGACGTCTTTTTCGTTTCACTTGCGCTACAC